CCCCCGCTCACTTCCCAAAGCGAAACGGCACCGCGTCCGGGCTGCGGGAACGGGGAGGGGAGGGGGGGCGCAAACTCTCGCGAGAGCGCGCCGCCTCTCGCGATAACGCCGCCCCCGGCGGTCCCGCGAGAGGAAGGGAAGGGGCGCGCGGTTGCTCTCGCGAGAGCTCGGCCCGCCCCCGCGCGCGGCCGCCCGTGACGCGCAAGATGGCGCCGGATCAAACTTTATTGGCGCCGCCGGGAGCGGACAACACTCCCCCCCGCCCCCTTGGCGCGGCGCCTGCGCGCCGCTCCCTTCCGCCGCGAGCTCTCAACAAAACTTTATCAGGGCGCGCACGCGCGGGTCGGGGTTCTTTGCAGGGCAGCCATGAGAGCAGCCCCGGCACCGGGCACGGAAAGGGGAGCTGCGTAACGGGCTCGGGGAGCGGCGCCGCAGTGTCCCGCGGAGCCCCGCCCGGCCCGGCCGGAGGACGCTCTTGTGCTGGGGTTGTGGTGTTTAACAGATGCATTGTGCGGCCCGCGGGGAGCCCCCGAGGCGGGTCCCGCCGCGCTGCAAGCGGCACCGGGCCGCCGCCATTGCCTCGCGGAGCCCCGCCCTCCCCCAACTCCCGCCGCTCTCGCGAGATCTCCCCCCCCCCCGGCGTGGGCAGCGCGGCTCTCGCGAGAACACGCCGCCCTCCTCTCGCGAGGCCGCGGCGGCAAGGCGGGCGCTGCCGCGGCCGTTGGGATGGCGGCGGGCGCCGCCGCGTGAGGCCGGCGCCGAGGGGCCCGGCCCGGCCCGGCCGCGCCATGAAGGCGGCGCCGGGCGGCGCCGAGGGTGAGTGCGGCGGCGGGGCCGGCTCGCGGCTCCCGTGGCGCGGCGCGGCTCCGGCGCGGGTTGGGCCCTCGGTGCCTCGCGAGACCGCAGGAGCGGCGGCGCCCGCCGGGCTCTCCCCGCCGCCGTGGCCGCGAGCGGCGCTCCGTGCGTTGCACGGCTCGTTCCGTTCATAATAAAGACAAATACCCAAGGGGCATTGAAGCCCGGCACCCCCGCCCTCGGTGTAACGGAGAGTTACAGCGTCTGGAAACGCCTGACACGCGTTTAACTGCGTTCCAGTTGGGTGGGGAGGGGACTGCGCCCCTCGTGTTTGCCCTGCCCTGCCCTGCCAGCCAGACTGTTGGGCTGGTCAAAGGGTGTCTCTGTAGGGGAGGCTGCCTGCAGGGTAGCAACAGAAACACCACGTTATAGTGCCCTGGAAACTACCGTTCTTTTTCATTATGTACGTGTTTTCTGTTATATATTGGGGAAAATACACCCTGTAATCCTCAGGGAGATACTTCTCATGGCATTGAAACTTCCAAAAATGCGATGAAGTGAGTTTGTRCAAGCACAAGTGTCTCTTGGGATGTGGCAAGCGTTTCGTAAGGGTTGCCTAGAATCCGATCTGCAAGGCTCTGCTGAAGGCAGAGCAAAGCTGACCGTTGATATCGCAGTGTACGGAGCCTTGGCGGGTTCCAGAACAGCACACAGACACCAGTCCTTGGTGTGTTTTCATGACGACTGCCCGGTTGTTCTGTTGGTAAAGCTTTGAACATGGCCGAGTTCTCTTTTCTGAATATCCTTCTATGATTTGTCTTATAGAGGCGGAGAAGCTGAATAAGATGAGTTCTCTCTTAGAAAGACTTCATGCAAARTTTAACCAAAACAGACCTTGGACAGAAACCATGAAGCTAGTCCGCCAAGTCATGGTGAGGATTGTTGGGATCTGCGCAGKGGAGTTTCAGGAGCATCTTCAGTAATGGTTTTACTGGTGGTTTGTCAGGTCTCTTCAAAGTCCTTTACTTTTTGGCCAAGCCTCATCTTCCCACTGGGCTGGCGTGGTTGAGACATCCTCGTTTTGGGAGTGGTGTGTGTGTCCTGAAGAGACAGTGCTCTGCTCGCAGCCTCGTGGGCAGGACGCAGCTGTCATCCCAAGCCCAGGACGAGGGGCAAGCCCGGTRTTTGGACTGCTGGGAGAAGCCTTGTGCATTCTACCGCTCACTCTTTTGAGATTTTGTTTCATTTTGTTAAGCCCTTTGCTCCCTTCTCGGTGGTGTTTGGAGATCGCTGTTGTTTTAGTCAAATTTATGTTTGAGACATTGGTTTCTGGGTGGAGGGAGGAAGGAACAGAAGGCAAGAGAGAGAGCTGCATGGAAGGTTTCTGCATATCTTGTTCTGAGGTGCTAAAGGTTTGCTCCTCTGGTTATTCCTTTGTCTCTTCCTGTATAGCTCTCAGCTTCTGCCTATGAAGAAGTTATTGCAGTCTGTTCTTCCAGATGAGGAAGTTGCTTAAAGAACAAAATCAATTCGAGGGGTGCCTTTGTTACCTGCTACCAAAATGGATACTCTTGTCATATAAAAATCAAAATGTGGATGTAATTTGGGCATGCAATCTAATCTGCCTTTAATTAGCTGAAAACCTCACTTGACTGAACAAAAATTGCAGTAATTCCCTCTCAGTGAGTGCTGCATCAAAAGGTCATTTTTCTCCTTTCTGACTAAGGAAAAGCGAGTTGTGCTGAACTCTGGGGGGCACCAACATCTGGTGAGCTGTTTGGAGACCTTGCAGAAGGCGTTAAAAGGTTGGTATGTTCTGTGCACGCGCTTTCCGTGCTGCTGAGCGGTGTTAGCTGTGGAAATACTGCACATGGCAGGGTTGTTGCTAGCAGCTGCCTCTGTGTGTGTGTGTTCATGTCTACGCAAGCGTGCTTACCTGTTACAATTCCATACCGCTCAAGATTGCCTGTTACTTTTATAGCAAATGCCTGTGCTTGAATTCCACTTGAATGTGCGAGAAGATCCGTTCTTYGTATTTCTGAGAATGTTTGTTTCTCCTCTATAAATTGTTCTAGCTGAATTTGGGGTATTGGTAATATAACTGCATGTGTAAAGGTSTGAGAACACCTGGGAGTGAGCTGGCTCTTATTGCTGATGGCTCGTTCCCGGGGAAGTGCTGAACTAGTTCACTAAGCCTTGCTCTTTGCTTTTTCCATCTAGTATCTTCTCTGCCTGCCATGACAGATCGCTTAGAGTCTATAGCTAGACAGAATGGGTAGGTTGTCTTCTTTATTTTATGGCAAAAGCATTTCTTGTGCATCTGTACACATCGTAATCTCCCTGCTGGTTCAATTGTTTTTTGTGTGCATCTCATAGTAATTTTTGTTTTGTTTTGTATGTAAGCCTTGGATCTCACCTTAGTGCAAATGGCACTGAATGTTACATCACTTCAGACATGTTCTATGTGGAAGTCCAGTTAGATCCTACAGGGCTGCTGTGTGATGTCAAGGTGGCTCACCATGGAGAAAATCCTGTGGTATGTATTACTGAAAACATGGGAGCGATACTRTTTTGTCTTTGGAACTGCCATTTTGGTTCCCTTCTCTATGGGAAGAAGAAGTGGATTGCCCTGAATGTTCATCTAGGCCTGACAGCTTTACTGCTCCTTCTAGTGGGAGGTAAAAACCTCCACGGGGCAGTCCATTCTTGTGATTTTATCTGATGACCGATGCAGTGCATGCGTGCAAGGACCATTTTCCTCCCTATTTTCTTCCRTGTAACATTTTAACTGGAAAAAAATGTAGGAAGTTACTCATTTTGTTTGTGGGAATTTTATTTCTCGAGGAAACAGCAAGTTGCTTAGGAARTGGATCTTAAAAGATTTAGCTCCCTGAATGGAAAATGCTAGAACTTAAAAGCATGCAGCTAACATGCTGAAAGAAAATAGCTTTACTTCCATCTTCCACATACTGGAGTTTGCCCTTGCATTTCACTTTGGCATAGCCATTTCTCTGAAGATCAGACCATTTTAGTTATGTTTGTGTAAGACAGAGGTTTTCAAATAAGACTTGACTGTTTTAGAGAAATAATCTCTTCTAGAAATAGAAGCTTTATTTCAAGTCATTCATTTAATAGGATATGATATTGTTTGAATTTCTCCCAGAGGCGGTTGTCAAGCAGAACTAGAACGGTAGTGGTTTATAGCTGTGAATGTTTCTTATAATCAAAAACTGATGCTTAGAAACGTCACTGTCCTAATACTTGCAGTGACATTGCTGCACAGAGACTGAGACGACAACATTTGACACTGATACAGTTCTCTGTTCTTCCCTTCCTAGAGTTGTCCAGAATTGGTGCAACATTTGAGGTGAGTAGCAAGTGGTGTATTTTCAGACAAGATTGTATTTGCAGCATTCACATCAGCTACAAATTTAAATTCATGTTACTTTTTCTCTCCTCCTTTTAGAGAGAAAAATTTTGATGAATTTTCTAAGCATCTGAGGGGGCTTGTGAACCTGTATAAGTTGCCAGGAGACAAGTAAGCCTAAAATATGAGCTTTGTTTGTTTATGTCCACGTATATAAAATTAAACATTTCTACATGCTCTTAGTTGTATGTTTATTTTGTTCCTTATGTATGAGATTCCTGACTCCCATCAACATAGTTGTGCGTGTATGCACTGCGTAGGGATGATTTAATCTGAAGTGGGAATATGGAATGAAAAGTTAGAACTTTTGAGTATTGTAGCGTATCAGCCAGTAGTTCTATAGTTGGATTTCATTGCACAGTKCCTTTTAATTTTTATTTTTTCTTGTATTGTTTTCTTTCTCAGCAAACTTAAAACTAAAATGTACTTAGCATTACAGTCCTTGGAGCTGGATCTCT